TGTTGCGGGACACTCTTGTGGGACACTCTTGTAGGACACTCTTGTGGGACACTCTTGTGGGACACTCCTGTGGGACACTCTTGTGGGATACTCTTGTGGGGCACTCTTGTGGGACACTCTTGTAGGAAACTCTTGTGGGACACTCTTGTAGGACACTCTTGTGGGACACTGTTGCGGGACACTCTTGTGGGACACTCTTAAGGGACACTCTTGTGAGACACTCTTGCGGGACACTGTTGCGGGACACTCTTGTGGGACACTCCTGTGGGACACTCATTTGGGACACTCTTGCGGGACACTCTTGTCGGACACTCTTGTAGGACACTCTTGTAGGACACTCTTGTGGGACAATGTTGTAGGACACTCTTGTAGGAAACTCTTGTGGGATACTCTTGTAGGACACTCTTGTGGGACACTCTTGTAGGACACTCTTGTGGGACACTCTTGTGGGACACTCTTGTGGGACACTCTTATAGGACACTCTTAACTCTTGTGAGACACTCTTGTGGGACACTCTTGTGAGACACTCTTACGGGACACTCTTGTAGGACACTCTTGTGGGACACTCTTGTAGGACACTCTTGTGGGACACTCTTGCGGGACACTCTTGTTGCACATTCTTGTAGGACACTCTTGTGGGTCACTCTTATGGGACACTCTTGTCGGACACTCTTGTGGGACGCACTTGTGGGACACTCTTGTGGGACACTCATGCGGGACACTCTTGTGGGACACTCTTGTAGGACACTCTTGTGGGACATGCGGGACACTCTTGTGGGACACTCTTGTGGGGCACTCATACGGGACACTCTTGTGGGACACTCTTGTGGGACACTCTTGTGGGAGACTCTTGTGGGACACTCTTGTGGGACACTCTTGTGGGACACTCTTGTAGGAAACTCTTGTGGGATACTCTTGTAGGACACTCTTGTGGGACACTCTTGTAGGATACTCTTGTGGGACACTCCTGTAGGGCACACTCTTCGTACGAGACTTCCTCCAAAAGTCACGCTGCGAGGCTGCAAGACGAGCTTTTCGTACGAGACTTCCTCCAAAAGTCACGCGTCAAGTCTCAAAAACGAGCGTTTCGTACGAGACTTCCTCTAAAAGTCACACGTCAAGTCTCCAAAACGAGCGTTTTGTACGAGACTTCCTCAAAAACTCACATGTCAAAGTCTGCAAAACGAACGTTTCGCACGAGACTTCCTCCAAAAGTCCAGCGGAAACACCCATCGGAGCACACACATCACGCAGCCCTGCCAAGCAGTTTCGCGATTCCAGCCCCTCCAAGCGACACCCGCTCACACGCCAATCCCAATGTGACAGCGACATTCACCTCTACCACAACTCACAACCTCCCGATTCCCTGCGCCTGCCACGAATCTTTCCGCGCCCACACGTCTAACGCGCACAAAGTACTGCGCCTGCCACGAAATGTCACCTCCGTCACACCTCGCAACCTCACGACTCCCTGCGCCTGCCACGAGAATCGCACTTCCACACCTCAAAAGCCGCACAAAGTACTGCGCCTGCCACGAAAAGTGACAATATCGTCTCATGTGAGCTTCAACAAAATTTGCACCACACCACACGTTTGGAATGATTTCGACCCGTTCTGAGCACACTCCCATCCACCAAAATCGGCATTTCAGCTGAGACTTGTCACGAAAACAGATCTTCGATGCCACACCCTGAAACGCAAATCCCAATGGCACAGCCACATCCAACACCCCAAAAACACGACTCTCCAAACGCTAATCCCAATGGAACTGCGCAGCAATCTGCAGATCTCACAAAACGCTGCGCCTGTGCAGCGAAACGCATCACGTTTCTTGCGCGGCATGTCATTTTCATGCAAATCACAATGGAATAGCGGCGCAAACTGACACGTGACACATCCATGAAAAGTCACTTGCAAAAGCTTCCCCCAATGGCAGTGCCTTAGCGACCTACTGCGGACGGTTGCGAACGGTTGCGAACGGTTGCGAATGGTTGCGAACGGTTGCGGACGGTTGCGAACATAGAAGCAACGGGTCGCGAACAAGACTCTACCCCCAGACCCCCAGAGTTAAACGAGAACCCTTCGCTACGCATTCGGGAAAATGGCCGGATGAAAAGACAGTTTCCAAAGTTTCCGGACATATTTGACTGGGGATGGTTGCAATCACCCACCAGCAATCATTTCAATTTCCATCAATTTCCCATATTGATTGTGATGGTCGATGATTGGATTTCTCGAACCAAGCTGGATTTGGTTCAATCTATCCCCATGCTTGTAGTAATTAGTAAGTAAATGTGCCCTAGCCTTCCAAGAACTGTAAAATACAGGTTGACCTGGTTTTGTAGTGTTCGTCTTCCTTAGAAAACAATGGCTTGTTCGGTGAACCATATTTAATTATTGGTGGTTGGAAGGCTAGGGTGTATGAAAAATGTTGGGTATAAAACGATTATCCTTATTCTAGAGAAAGGCCTTTACTAACCATCATCATCCACTGTCACAGGCAATAGGATACATATAATGCATACATGATTACACATTATTATACAGTATACAAGTTTTTTGTTTCCAGGCTAAACCTGATTCGGGTGAAACATGACGATTTTTGTTCATGAATCGTCGAATGAAATCGGACTCGTTGAGAAGTCAGAAGTTCCGTGGTAGCTGTGCTTGTTTTTGCCTTGGCTAAGTGACTAAGTGCGTGGATCATGGGCACAGCACAGTGGATTGGCGCGGCACACCCGACCCGCGCCTCTTGGCGCTCGTGAGAGATTGGACGACTCCAAGTGAGAGTGGTTGTTGGGTTGTTGGCCAAGTTTGGTGTTGTTCGACTCATTGTGTTGTTCATCTTGTCGCTATGTTGCTTTTTCATTGTGGTGTTGTTCTTGTTTCACATGTTGCTTTGTTGGGAATGTTCATTGAGCAGACTGTTCGCGGTCGCTGGTCGTCTTTAAGAGGAGATCCGTGGCGAGAACTTCCTGAATGTGCATAACATTGGTCAGAGGCCACGCAGGGACGCAGGGAGAGGGGAGGAAGCTGGTGAAGCACCGTTTTTTTCACCACCAAGGAAAGCACCGCTGCTGAAGTGGCTTGGGCAATAGCAAAAATAGGTTGGAATGTGATGGAATATGCACTAAAAGTAAAGTTTATATAAGTGTTTTCCATAATTTCTATGTTCCTGGAAACGGCATAGTGGCATAAGGCAACCAAATTTCAGGAGCAATGCCCATTTGAAATGCGATCGCCTTCCTCCTTCAGGGCAGCACATGGAGTGTTGTTGTGGTCGGTATGCAGCAGGTTGGACTGACCCCCAATGTGAGCAGGTTGCAAGTGGTCATGTCAGCTATATGTGGCTATGGCTCAGAAACGACAACTCAGGGACTAGGAGGTTCTTGCCTATTTTGGCCCTGTGTGTGGCAACACCAGCGCTAGCATTTTCAAGCACAGGGCCAGGGGTACAGGGTCAGGCAAAGAGTCAGTCACGGTCAAGGTGCAATTTTGAGGCCTTGCCAAGGGTTTGGGGACCTTTTTTTCCAAACAGACAACGAACACCTGCGCCCAGACCGAAAGCCAGTACTCTGAATGTCTGAGATTTTCCGGTCTTTTAAGAACCACCGACGAACCGGCCCCGGGACAGCACAGGCTGTGCGCCGAACCGCCCGCGGACGCCGCTCTCTGCGCGCGTGCGTGCGCACAGCGGTCGGTCGGCAGGAACACCAAGTACCTCCAGTGGACCAGGAACTTTGCGCCGTTGACCACACGAGTCTCCTGTCATCACACCCAGTCCTATGTGCCGCTGCCCTTGGGAGACAACAAGATCAATTCAGATCTGGCCGCATCCTTCAAGCAGCCGGGACTGGTGTTAAATTTGCGTGCGCATGGAGGTGATATGCAGTGAGCAAAAAGATGACAAACAAGTTGATGATTTTTTCTGTAATTATCCAGACACTCCATGTATGGTATACATGACATCATTGGCCCCAGGTCAACCACCCCGACTGATCGGTAAATTTGCCAGTCCCATGGATTGAGTCTTCAGATACCAAACATTGACATTGCTCAAGCCCAGAGCTCATCTTCTCAAGATTTCCCTAGCCATTTCAGTAATGGAAGCTGAAGGTGTTCTAGGGATCCACGGAACTGTTTTGGGAAGGAAGACGAGCCGGATTTGGCTGATTTGGCTGTTTTGAGTGCCATCAAACGCACGTGTGCTGCGACAGTTGTTCTTTTTGATTACTGCAGAAGTGCAGCAAGGATCCCTGATGTCGATCTATTCTTGTGGATTGGTGTAAAAGATACCTGATGGGCTATGTATTTATACGGGACGGTATATATATATACTTGCTGAGCAGAGAGTGGCTCTGACGCCACTTGCCACTCCTTAAGCTCTTCATACGCCGACACCGCCGACGCGCCACACTTCCCGCTTGCTTGATCATCTCAGGAAGGGGTGGCAGCAGAGCAAAGGTGGGAGCATGGCCACCATGGACAATACCACCATGTATGAGGATGACTTTCCGGGCATGAGCAAGAAGGCCGATGTCTTTGACGGTTGGCCGGGCCGTCCTTGTTCGCGGCTAGCTGGGGCCCTTCCGCAGAAGACGAGACGTTCATGACAAGAGAGGCGTTATTTCGTTGCTCTCTCTCTCTCTCACATTGAAATGATCAGGCAAAAAGAAGATCAAGCAAAACGCTGCGAGGGTTTGAGTCCGACCTCAAGTTATACTTCAAAGACCCAGTCGGCGGGTGTTTGGGGGGTCCCTCTCATCACCATTTTGCACACGTCTTCCAGATCAGGCTCTTCAGGCTCTTACTTTCGTTGGCTGACCAGTGGGATAGGCAGGGTGTCATTCAGTGTCCTTCCTTCTTTTCTACCCCCCAGGAGACACTTTGTCTTCCCCCTATGACCACCCCTATGACACTTAAGTGTCATTCCCAGATTGAACCTTCCAGGAGCTGGGATTTTCAGCCCAGACTTGGAGGTTCAACCGATCCCACCAAGCTGGAAAGCCTTTGATCCTCCTGGCCAGCTCCATGCAGCTCCACAGGTTCCGAGATGTGTTCCCTGCTCCAAACAGTTAAAGGCTTTTTCACGTGGAACAGTGACGCAATGCAACGCCACAGGAAACACATTGAAACGCGAAGTAAACGCGACGACCCCACACCCTCACCAGCTGCGGCTTCCTTCGTGGACTCTCCCTTCGTGACTCTCCACCAGACGACCTCCGACCTCCTCCGACTCATCTCGGTCTTCTCGGCGCGATGGCCCGTCTCGCGCGTCGCACGCGCCAGGAGCTGCTGGGTGCTCGTCAGCCGAATCGGAAGCCGGCGCAGACGCTGACGCAGACGGTGGCACCGCCGGGGGAGCTCTTGGACGCTCGGGAAGGAACGGGTTTTGACGGTGGAAGGGGAGAACTTAAGGTGTGAAGCACCTGTGATAGGGACAGAGAAAATGCTATAGATCGAGGTATAGTGTTGTAGAGATATATTTTAATCATTAGTGTTATTGTACACAGATTTGAAATTATGATTACAAAGAGAGTGACAGCAGCCTAGTGAAGGCCCTTTGGACGTCACGTTTCAGACAGAACATCCGCCTTTGTACCTTGTAAAGGGTTCTATGATGTGGATTTACCTTGAAATAGAGGTGATTGGCCTGGGGTGAGATGTTTCTTCGTTTGGGACTTGGTCCTGCTTGAGCTGAACGTTCTCCTCAACTTTCCATTCCTATCGTGATTCGCATGGAAGATGGCCCAGATCCTTGGTTGGAGTGGAACTTGACACCCTCATTATCCCTCATTACTCATCGATCCAGATGATGCTTTCAGCCCGAAAGATGGTTTCTACTCCTTAGTAAGCTTCGGACTGCACTGTTGCTCCAGATGAAAGCGACTTATGAACTTACTTGTGGATCACTTGGGGAGATGGAAGTGACACTCCGACTAAACAGTATAGGTGTGTTTCATTGTTTTTCCGCATTTGCTTGCGCTTTCGGCTGCGCATTCGGCCGAGCGGTGTGCATCGTTGTTGTGTCCTGAAGTCCGATTGCTTAAACTGGGTCGCCCAACACCAAGGAAGGGATGCACACAAGTTGTGTTTTCTGAAGATACACATGATTTAATTGTATATATCATATTCATTCATATTCATTAATATTCTTTATATACTATATGATGTATCGTCTCACAACCACACCAACGTTTGTGGTCGTTCCTTCCCAACTAACTGAGGAGCTTCAGTCGCACGAGCATCGCCACTTCAAGAGCCCTGGGCCGTCGAAACTGGAGGTCGAAAGCTTTCTCGTTGGGCGACCAGGATTTGAACAAAGGTTGGTACAGCTGGGTGGGTGGTTTCAGATATGGTGGATCGCACCCGGCCTGGTTGCGCACTCGTAGCTTGACGGAGGCCGGAGGTCGTGGATCCTGTTCATGTTCGCTGGGAAACACGATAGCCCAGACGCGACCCGTTCGGCCCCGAATCCTTTGGAGGGGTCGGACCTGGAGGGGTCTGGGGTTTCTCACCAATCCCGATATCAGTTTTGGTTCGGGAACCGGTCGGGCGTCGTTCACGTGTGGGTCCGGGTCCTTTCGGTGTCATGAACCAACATATATACCAGTCCGACTCCAGCTGGGACTGCCAGTCCGGACTGCCGATGATCAAAGGCCGTCGGGGTGGTGCCCAGGGGGGGTCAAGGCATATATTGGCAGTCCTATGGCAATCCCATGGAGTGTATGGGTATGTCTATCCTACAGAGGTTAAGTGACCTGAACTAGGACCCTACAGGGGTACCTATAGGATAGTCTATAGGGTTCTTCAACCTCTGTGATGATTGATCCATATTGATCCCACTGACTCTCCTATACTTCGTTTGTGAGTTGAAATCACCAGCCAATCAAATTGTCAAGCCTGCCCAGTTGGTTCACATGAGCCGCTTTGGGGGATTTGGGGACAACCCCCTAAAACTTCAACAGGTGAAGCAATTCTTAAGGTGAACCGTTGACTTCTACAGAAACTAATTGAACACTGAGGGAACATGATTTCCTGCATCCTGCATCCGGCAAGTCTTTGGAACAGTCTGTGAAAGCAAGATCCGCATCATGATTGGCACCTTTCACTAGAGTCGGTGGTAGATAACCTACTTTAATGTCAACTGCGCATGAGTAGAGACGTCGGTCAGATTGAAACCTACAGACTCTGTAGATGGGCAACCTGGAGCCGGATTCATCACAGCTGTGCCGGAGGTTGGCTTCTTGGAAAGACAATGACAAGGAACTTCAAGGGACAACGGGTGTCCCTTCAAACTAAATCGTAGAAGTCATCATAGTACTCAGGTCAAGATCGCAGCCAGGTCAGATGCCTTTGTTTTGCGTATGGCAGGTGCGCTCTTTCCCTTCCATCCAGGCCCGCTGAAAACCCCGAACACCGCCCCAAAGAACACCTCCGAACACCGTCCCAAACCACCACGCCACGCCCCCTGTCCTGGCGCGCTTTGTTCAGGAAGCCCCGGGCCGAGCTGGCGAAGAACCCTCGCGTGCCGCCGCCGCGGCAGGCGCTGGAGATGGGCGGGGCGCCAGTGGACCCGCCGAAGCTCACCACCTACGTGCCGTGGCGCTGATGCGACCGCCGACGCCGACGACCACGTGAGCAAGAAGCTAAACTCTCTGTCATACAGAGTAGGAATGGAGCCGAGATTGAGTGAAAAACCTTCACTTCGATCTGTAAAACGATATATGAACTCCTAAAAACGATAACCCTTGGGTGATGTGATGTGCTGTGCTGTGTTTTGATTGATTCGCCTTCGCAGCCATTTTGAAGCCATTACGCATCCATTTATCCATTTATTTGAGACGAAGACGAAGATCGATGTCTTCCAGCAAGCCGGTTCCAATGGATTGTGTGTTCTTCGTCGAGACCGGGAGTAGCAGGGGAAGGACGATGAAGGACGCGACAGTCCCGCCGCGGCGGTCTTTTGGGGGTGCAGAAAAACTGTGTGTCATGTATGTGTGTGTTTTTGTATGGATGTGTGTGTGTGGTAGCTGGTACTTGGTTGGATGTTTCTTTTAGTATATAGTGTATCGATCCATGATATTCCGTGACAGTGTGTGTGCGCCTTATTTTTTGTGTGTGGGGGATGTTTGGACAGATTGTGGGATGTTTCTGGACAGATTGTGGGATGTGCTGGCTTTCAGATTGGGTGGTTTTCGTCACAATCCGTCTTCGTGCAGCGATGTCGGATGTGATGCGGTCCGAGGTGCACGTACTCACAGGCTTTCAACGTCAGGCAGCAGGCAGCAGGACAGTTCATGCTTTGTCACTATTGGTTCCATGGGTTTGTATTCTACTACGAAACTCCCGACCAATGGGTTGTTGTGTGTTTTCTACTCTTCTTCCAGAGAGTCTAGACCGGAGGTCTCCTTGATCAAAAGACACACCTGTTCCATCCGGTTCCCTTTCGTTCATAGTTCTAGAGTTTTTACTGGATCTGGGTTTGTTTTTCAAAAAGGGATATTGTTGGCTCTGGCTGGGTAGACTGGTCTATTTCCCGAACCGAACCCATGGGGGCACCGAGAATCGCCCACACCGTCCAAGGTGCGGGAGCACATCTGGCTGACGGCGTCGGAGCCCGAACTGCGTCCCACCAAGGCGGAGAAGCGGAAAGTGCAAGAGACCTGGCTGGAAAGAGCAAGAGAGCTGGGTGACCAAGACCACATGGAGATCCCAAGTTCGGGAGCCAGTCGTACCTTTTCTCAGGTTCGGTACGGCTGGACCCTACTGGCACCTACATAATCTCCAATTACCTAACCTGAGAAAGTACGACTGGATCCCTAGGGAGCTGATGGTTTGCTTGATTGATCAGTTTTGGTTGTGTTTTGTTTTGATGACATCCATTGGACCGGCCAAATGGGTGCTTATACTCGGTCCCTTCTTCCCCTTCGCGGTCTCACCAGGTGTTCAGGTCGATTTGTCCAAAACATGCAACATCGGTCGCATTCGTCTGTTGTGCGCCCGAACAGGTTCTGGCTTTGCTATTGGCCAGGTTTGGTGTTGGACTTTCCCCGGTTCCTGGGTGAGTCGCAGAAGACTCTGGGCCAATCTTTTCTTTTTGGGTTCCTTCAGCAAATCTGAGAGTCTTTCTTGGTCTCGAGGCCATTCAGTATGGCTGGGTGGACCCATTTCGTTCGCCGAACTCCATGGCAAACTCACAAGAGAGACGCTGATTGCTCCTCTCAAGTGATGATACATGATGACACCAGGGTCTTCTGCTGTCTGAAGTGCTCTAAGCGGTTGGTTGTTGAGTCAACCTTGTAACAGGCCTCTTGTCAAACTGTAGGTCTTTCTTGTCAACCACGTCAAGAGGTCTGTGAGCCCCTACTCCGCGTGTGAAAGTGAGTGAATGGGCCGTTCTTTTTGGATTTCGTTCGACGGTCATGGTTCCGACTTAGTCCATCTCACTCCATGAGTGACAGGGAGTGTCACTTCGCTCAGGGCGCGTCGCTCAGGTGGCGTTCGCCTCAGTGTGAGTTCGTTGTTGTACCATGATCCCCAGCCGGGAAGGCACTCCGAAGCGGACCAAGAGAGGTTGAGAGACCGCTTCACGTTCGGACCCTTTTTAGTAGGTGGTACATATCTGGGATTCCCTTTCAGACAATTTTTAATTTCTGGTTTCCGGTCTAAATGCCTACAGTGTGTGAGGGTGGTGGAGGGTACACCTGATTGGAGGGCTATCTTCACTGCTCAAAGCTTGCTGCGCTCTATAGAAAACACGATACACCATTCTTGTTCCTTCTTGTTCACTCGGTATCGAGGGCGGCAAGACCAAGCCCCTGGCCACCCAAGCGCGGCGCGCGATCAACGCCCTGGCATCCCGACTGACTCGATGTTCGACGTCTAGTCTAGGTTAAGCAGGTGGCGTGTGGAGGAGATGTGGAACCCTGTTAGCTGTTAGCTGCCCTTTTTTGGGCTTTGGCACGCTTTGGACACTTTGGTATTGTTTGTAGAGACTGTTTGGAGCATTTGAGGCATGATGGGCATGTATATATTATATGCGTATACTTATTGCGTGCCTATCTATCTATTTATCTGTCTATTTGTTTGTCTGTCTGTCTGTCTGTCTAACTCCGGATGTCCGACGTCGGGACAGGTTTCATGAGGTTTCTACACCGTGGTGAGTACTGGCAGCAATATCTGACAACTGCTGCTTGATCGGCTTCATGCTGCAGGCTCAGTGAACTGATAGGAAAAAGGCGAACACCCTTCTTCTCCATCGTCCCTATCCTCTTCTTTACTCTCTCCCTGGCATCGACTCGTCCGGCTTCATCCCTTCCGGGCCTGGTCGTACAGCTGCAGCAGCACCAGGCACTTCCCGCAAGTGTTAAGAAGGCTAAGTCAAGTTGCCTGTTCATTTTACTAGACAAGTGACTTCATTTCGGAACGGGCATATGAGACAAGAATTAGAGATTCGGCGTTGGGCGTTGGGCGGAATGATGGCCGCAAGCCCTGCTGGTGTGCCAGGCGCGACACTGCGGTTCCGGAAACTGGGTGTGGAGCAGAAAAGTCGGGAAACTGGGCCCCCTGGACTACGTACAACTCTGTGGTTCGGCAAAACATGCCAGTTCCAATTGACACGCATTTCTTAAACAACACACCCAGAGAAATCTTTGGGCCCGCAAGGACCCACCTGCCTCCTATTTTCAATTGCACGGCTTGACCGCAGGATCCCCCAATTCCCTAAACCATCTTGAGCAGTGGTGCAAAAATAGCAGTGCCCTTCAGACCTCAGGTTCTCACAGGAAACAAAAACCAACGTTCATATATGCAAAAGCTACATGGGAAGACGTGGAAGGTTGGTAGGAAGAAACCCAGTAGTTTTATGTCACATCCTGGCAGTGGACTGAAACTCTCCACCGATAAACCCACTTTCAGGCCAGCGGCGAAGGCCAACAAAGAGGGTCACGGCGGATGCTCCTTGTCCTGTGGCTGGCGCGGCGGACGGAGCGCTAACCCGGCGCGCCGGACGCTCCTGCTTTGTTTGAAAGATGTGTTGTCGGTTTGCGGGGTGAAAAACAAAAACGAAGTTAGCACCTCTGATGCATTAATCAGTCTCGTGATCCTCAGGAAATCTTCGGAACATACCGGGCCAGGACCTGCCCTCCGGCCCTCATCACCCGGCGCGCCGGGCACAATTGTTTTCAGGTCTGATCTCTGCGGTACGAAAAAAAGTTCAAATGAGACTTTGACTACGTTGTATGAGGTTTGCTCGACCACTCGACAAAAGCGACCAGACCTTGACCCGGTGTGATGGTTTGTATTTGCTGCCTATATATTTTCAACCCATGCAATATACTCAAAACACAACATTGCAACCCGCCATAGGTTTGACAAGAGGTTGGGACATTGTTTATCTTGGGGGCTCCTCCAAAAATCAACAAAATAGACATGGAACGCGTTTTCCGTTCGACCTACGTTTTAGGTGCTCCCAATATTGGCGGCCAATGAGCGCCCCTTGAAACCAACTATATTAGAATCCCCGAAAGAAATCCAAAAACCATTGGACACCCGCACCTCCTCGGCCTAGCGGGTATTCATGGGGTTCCGGCGCAAGAAGATTCGGTTATTGGAGGAGTCCCCAAGATCAACGATTTCCTAATATCCTGTCAAAACCTGTGGTGATTTGCAATGTTGTTGCGTTTTGGATATATTGAGTTGAAAATATCCAAGAAGCAAAAATAACCCGGCGCGCCGGGTCCAAGTCTTTGCTGGTCGCTTTTTGTCGAGTGGTTGAACAACACACTCAGACAACGTAGTCAAAGTCTTATATCAACTTTATCCTTCATACTACAGAGATCAGACCTGAAAACAGTCGTGCCCGGCGCGCCGGGTGAGGAGGCGGCGCCAGTCCCAGTATGTTCCGAACAAATCTGGAAAATAATAACGAAACACATGTATAAGAGGCGCTAACTTCTTTTTGTTTTTCACCCGGTGAACCAGGCTTGAAGATAAACCACCCAGCTTGAATTCCACATCGTCAATTACACTCCAAAGAAATGGAGGACAGGAATGGCTCCGTGAACACTCCCTTGCCTCTACTCTACTTGTGTTCGCCTGCTGCCGTACCTGCCCGTGTCAGGCAACAGCATGCTACAGCAGAAAACATTTACGGCTCCAATCTTGCAACTCGGTGGCATATCGCCATCGCATGCATTAAAGTGTGGTGCGGCAACCAATTCAATACTGGAACTAGTACCAGGTTTTGAGCTACCTGCCCCGACATACCTCTTCCTCCTTTCCTCCCCCACCATATGACATGTAAGAGACTTATACACGAAGAGATCATCGACGTCAAATCTGCCATGGTCCGTCGTACAAAAGAACAGCTGAAGGCGACAGATGCTATAGTGAAGCGGCAGTACAAGTGTGGGCAGAAGACGACAGAGCAGCAGGTGGGCAAAATCAACAGAAGCCTGGCCAATGCTGGCCTGCCTCAGATTGAGGATTGGGACTCTTGGAAGAAGAGCTTCCTCAAGCGTGGCAGGAAGGTGAAAAAGAACCTGAAGAAGGGTCGGAAGCAGAGGCACGGCAAGGAGGCTACAGACTTCATCAAGTCCGTTGGTGGGGCTGCGGTGGCTCTTGCGGTGGCTCTTGGGTTGGGGGTTCGGTCTGCTTGGACATATGTTACAGTCCCCCGAAAAAAGGTCAAAGTAAGCTACGCAAACGGGGTCTAAATTTGGACCCCGCTTTGAACATACTTTTCATGAGCCAGCTGGGTTGTACAAGACGCTTTGAGCGGCCAGTTCAGGGTTGCCATTCCATCGATAGCAGCTATCCAAGCTGTTTTTCCACCTGCCTTATATTTGTTGGACGAAGTTCATTGCCGGGGGTGATATATAACACGAAACAGAAATCTGTTGAAATGAAACTTCAATATATAGCTGCAGCCGCATATTGACATGTATAGGCCCTCCCACAGTAACGATCAAACACCTGCGATTCCAAGGAGATGCTTCCAGCTTTCCAGGCTCGGGCAAACCTGCGGGAGCAGAGCGTAAAACCACTCTGACGGGATGTGTTTGGAGTTCCGTGATTCGGTTGCCGTTGTTTTGCTCGTGTTTCCCAGGGTCCTAGCTGAGCTGGCCAGCTGTTTGCTGGCGATCTTGGGGGAAGGCACAGTTGCAGCTGTTGCAATCTGTGAAAAATCCTGAAACATAACCTTGAGGCCGGGGAATGAGCCATAATCCAGTCCACCTATTAAAAAACAGGTCCCCCCCTAATAAGGAAACCCTAATAAGGAAACCTCGGTCGCAATGTTTCTAATAGGGGGTCCCTGAAATCGGGGGGTCCAAAAAAGGGTCACCTGGAAAGAGTTTCAACACCAAAGAATAGGGTCACCTAGAAAATCCTTTATTAAACTCGTATCAAAAATGCAAAAAACCTCCAGATCGAAGGGGTCTTCCTTTTCCCCTACAAAAGCCTTCATTAGAATAGTGACTCTTCAGTAGACTAACAGCTAAAGCTTCCATCCGGTGCGAACACGCGCGCTCCCATCTGATGGACGAGATCTGAACGTCGCCGCATCTGTTGAGCGGCGATCTGAATCTTGGGAGCCGGGAGGTTTAGCCTTGGCGCTGGGTCCACGGCAATCAAGGTGAGCGGGTTGGCAAGCGCATGGACCAAGCTTGTAGTTTCTGCTGGGCAGGGCATCCAATCGGAGTACTGGTGGAGCTTTCTTTCATCACTTCTCTACTTTGCAATTTGATGTCACACACGGCAACAGCGGCACTCATGGCCCCAATTGCAATGACAGAAGATATGCACAGCTGACTCCTGGGTTTGGCAACATGTCTCCACGGGGGTTCGTTTGTGTGGCCCTTGATTGAGTTATAGTCATAGTTACGTAGGAATATGCGGCATAGGTCACAAGCCAGCTTGATTCGCAGCAACTTTCCTACCTTCGTACGCATGAAACAGTATCTGGGAGAATCAAATCTTGTGGTTCCCAAATAGATTGAAACGGTGTCCAATACATCTACCTGAATATCCATGCGTCCATCTATTTCTCCGGGGTTTTTCAAAGAGTCGAACTCGACGAGGCGTCCGGTCCACCCGTCGCACGGTCACCAGGCTGCCCTGGAGCAGCAGGCCATGCAGCTCACCATGGAGTGCCTGCCCGACCCTGAGGACTCTGGTGGCTGGGGTAGTGGAGCAATTTTGGGGCGGATGCGCAGATGCGGCATGGATGCGCGGATGCGCATATAGTTGGAGAGAAACCACATCGAAACTTCCTTGAAGAAGCGCTCGCACTATTCACTTCGTTCCTAGATTTTTAGGAAAAGGTCCAGGTAAAGGTTGGAGGTCGCTAGAGATTGAAGAATCCGCGCCGAATCACAACCTGAGGCCATCAAGGTGAGTGGGTTGGCAAGCGCTTGGACCAAGCTTGTAGTTTCTGCTGGGCAGGGCATCCAATCGGAGTACTTGTGGAGCTTTCTTTCATAACTTCTCTACTTTCCAATTTGATGTCACATACGGCAACAGCGGCACTCGTGGCCCCAATTGCAATGAAGATATGCACAGCTGAGTCAATGAGCCTTGCCATTTTAGCAGACTCCGAATCATGCTGATATGCTTCGTGGTCTGCAAGAGTTCCCAAGGAATCTCAAGACGGATTCCAGATAGAACAGTGCGCAATTTCAGACCAAAAGCTGCTGCAGATCTGTGCTTTGATTTTTTTGATTTGGGATTGAAACCCGTCGTCACCAAACCCCGGCCTCAAGTATAATGCATAAATAATCATAAATAATTTTCAGGCAGGTGAAAGTGCAAGCCAGATATGGGATGGGCGGCGACCAAGGGCTATTCAACCTCTCTAGGTACCGAACCTGAGAAGGTGGGACTGGGGTGGGTGCCATGTTCGGGTCCAGTCATACCGAACCTCAGGTTCGGTACGACGAAGTCGGTGTATCCGGTTTCGCACCGGTCCACTGAGTCGCCATTCGGGGCGTGTACCGTGCTGTTCCAGCAGCTGGGTGCTGTTGTGGCGGCCCAACATGAAGAACGTAGCGGATGGAATCACCTTCCGAACTCCAAAACAGCCTCAGATCTGCTTGTTAGACCAATGGAGACCAATAGGGTGGCATCCAGTTGAGATCTGAGAAGAGACGTTGGAGGAACGATGGCATGGATGAAGATGCGAATGCAGTGCCAAATAACTACCTTCAGGTCCCGGTCCATAGCAGTGCCAAATTGATCACCTGCCCCAAACCATCCATCGGATCGGAATAGTTGCATCAGGTTCTAGGTTCTATAGTTCTATATGGTATATATATATATCATATATGTATACGGAACTATTCTGGTCCCATGGATGGTTTGGGTATGTTTGGGTGCTCAAAAGCTTGTGGATTCTGATCCAAAAAATTCAGGGGAGGCCATGGCTATTGGGTTGGAGGCCATCGCAAGTACGGGGAGGCCCTCGTTCTTAGGTTGGAGGCCATTCCTCTTATATAAATTATTGAAATTGATAGGCATGTCTTTCCCATGGGTGGCCTCGGACGTACCTGGCTGGACCGTCACTGACATCGGTGTGTGGAACTCTCATGCCCTGAGGAAGTGAACATGGAGATTCTCAACATCCGGAGGAACCCTTACACCAGCCCAGGGCAATAGCGTTGGAAGACGTGGAGGGCGGACTGGGTGGGGTGTCTCAAACATGAAAAAGTGAAACTTATTATTATAGATGGAGCCACAAATCACGGCGAACTGAACAGAACTAGCAAAACAGCAAAACCCCGAAGCCCTGTGTGTGAATTCCTATTCTATCCCGTGCTGAGCTACTAGATATCTAAAGGTGAATCATCAACTGGGCTCAGAATGGTTGTTCTGAATAATGGAACAGATGCTGAACAAAAGATGACTCCGAAGCAGTTTTGAGACACCTGTCGACACCTGTTGTTTCACCGCACCGTTTCACCGCACCCTCCGGGGGCCCCGGTTTGGCGGATTTCACAGATTCCAAGCCAAGTTCTCCGTTTCTTGTCAATGGCAAGGGCTGCGGACCGCGGATTTGGCTGCAAGAAAGGAAAGAGACAGACCTTTGGACGGTTGTGATGCCCCATGACTTTCGGACATGCGTGCTTTTGATGTTTGATGTTCGAGAGACACCCATCAAATCTCACCTATTATACCAGGACCTACCACTGATGGAAGAGACAGTTCTTGAGGTTAAGATCTGGTTCTTGGTGACCACTCGGATCCATTTGGCGAATCATCAAGTGGCCGAAGACAGGTTCTGAATGACCACCGGATCCTACAACGTGCGCACTCTGACCACCTGGAAAAGTCCCAGATCACCGCAACCTATACGTTTGTGCGAGGATTAAATCTTCCAGGGTATATCATAATAAACATGCCAGTCATGGCCCTTTTGCCGGTCATGACCGGGATCCAGGAGTCTCAGAATCGGATGTCGAGATTCGCTCCAAACTATGTGTTTGTCCTTGCTGAAAACGACATGTACTTCACCTCCATCTGAACCGAAGGTGTTGGACCCATCCTGGACGCCAAACGGCATGGCATCTGGATCCGGAGCAAAGGGCATCGCTACGAATGGAGCGATCAGACACTACGAAGGAAGGGGCTCCTGGCCTCGCCACGAACGGAGCAATGTTCGCTACTACTACTACCCAGACGCTCATGGACCAAGTAGGGGCCGTACCCTTAATATATGGAGGGGTCCGCACCCTCAAATCGGTTTTGAGGGACCGTTCGGCCTGTGAACGGAGCGTCTGTGTAGGAACCAACCGAGATTCGCAGGTTCTGCTGCGCTGGAGACGCGTCAGGGGCGCCCAGAGGGGCGAAGCTTCGAACGTCGAAGCGGTGGAACCGGTCGAACCGGACTCAATAGGTGTTCCTATAGTGAGTTCAACCGGGGGGGAAGCGGCTGGAAACGACTGGAGGTGGATCATATAAATGATTGAACCTCAAATTGAGGGCGTCCAACATCATGGGAAGGGGGCTGTTTGATATCAGCAGAGTTTGGGATACTGGTACTAGTTTACGATGAAGCAAAGGATGAAGTTTGGGATCAGTGGATGAAGTAAACGTTTTAATATGTTTGGCTAAATTTAATGTAATAGTATATAAACTAAACAGAGTTTGTGATAAAAGCAGTTTGTTGAACACGAGACTGCAATCAGTTGGCGTCAAGCCCATCTTTGCTCTGTCCACGAACGTGGACAGAGCGATCATTTCAACGATGGTGTTTCCCAATGGATCTCAGTTACCACGATTAGCCCTATGGGGATCCAAGTACCTGCTGGGGTAGTTGGAGACACTCTTATGTAGGTTTTGAGGGTCCAAGTACCTTCTGAGAAGGTACTTGGATCTCTAGGGCCCTAGGGTAGTATCAGGAACCAGCGCTTCGTGGACAGTCCACGCAGTCCTTGGGTCGAAACGAGTCACATGGTGACACCCGGGAAGAGCGAGACCCACATGGAACCGAGAAGCTCGCATGGACCAGTACAGGAAGACCCTTTTTCCTCTGTGGTTTTCAGGTTCCATGTGTGTCATTTCCAAGGGCAAAGCCTACGTGGTTTGCCTGAGATCCACATAGAAAATCCCTTCTGGCACCTGGACCCGGCACCCACCCCAAACACGGCACTTGTATCCCTATAGGGTGGTTGATGGGACTCTGTTGGAAGCAGATCCACTCGTCTCCACGGAGCCGGTCCAAGACGGTTGTCGTCTCTCCATGACCGCCGCTCGATGGCTCGACCGGTCAGAAGGGTCCCAGCCATTGAGCCCTTAGGCCTTTGGGTGGCCCAACCATCTGAGAGTCCCAACCATCTGTGGGTCAACCAAGCATCTGAGCGCAGAGGGTCCCAACCATCTGAGCTCTCCGTCTGTCTGGGCTCCGCCCCGGTCGGTCCGCCCTGGCTCGTCGAGTCATCGACCAGGTTGGCTCGGCACCTTGAGCCTCATCGGCTTCTCCGCTGCGGCGCTGCCAGGACACCCAGAGCACTCGCCCAGACCGGCGGGCACTCGGCACTCGACCGAAAAAGGGGCTGCAGACCGGTGCTTCGGTGGCCATGTCGTGGGGCCACCGATTCGGTGAGCCCCATGGGTTGCGCCAAGCTAGCTTGTGGGAAGATGGAGCATGTTCAATATGTCGTTCATATGGAGCTATAGTGTATTATAGTGTGAAACCGGATGGGTTGGCCAACTTCTCCGGTTCTCCAAGTTTCTCCACAACTGATCTACCCGGGATCCAGTCGTACCTCTCAGGTTCGACTGGACCCTCCTGGGTCTCCAATCACCTTCTGACAAGACACAATCTAACAACAACATTAAAACACAAAAACGGAAACAAAGAAAAAACACAGACTTTCGTTTTGCTTTTGGATTGTTCTTCTTTTTGTCTTTTTCATTCTACTTCGATCCCAAGGGCCTAGGGTATGTTGGACTGTCAAGCCTTTTTCGTTCCAAATGCCACGCGTTTCTCACATCGCTGCGTCCGACACCCGAACTCTGCAGGGCCAAGACACGTTCGGCCTGCGAAAAAAGCATGTCCTCAGGTACTAGGACCTTCCAACAGGTGGTTTTTGGCCACCTCTTAACCTATTTATAGACACCTCTTGGAAGGTCCTGGTAGTTCGACTATGTAGTTCGAAAACAGGTCAGTTTCACCTCATGTTACTGAAGTTGATCATGAAACCACTACCTGGACCCGACTGACCCGGTACCTTAGAAAATGGGACATGACCCCATAAAAACAGGTACGACTGTACCCATTTTCCGAGGTACGAACTGAGACTCCAGGTATACTCATGATCAATGAAGTCAAGGACCAACTTTTACTGGTTCACTATATTACGTAGGACTCCAAGATCCTTCAAAACCGAAAGAGACAGCAACAAACATCAGACCGTTCACCCAGCAGACGGTTCCAGGGGAACGGCGCTGGGCGCAGAAATCACCCGGTCCCGTGGGCAGCGGCCTCGAGGTGTCCGGATGCCTCGACGGCAGAGCCCTTCGAAGGCGGGACCTTCACCACCGAAGAATGGGACTGGTATAGAGACCCAACATGACCAAACCCTGTCAATGCCCATGGCTTTATGATATAATAGTGTTTGTCTTCCTCGGCGACGGCTTCCTGCCCCTGGCAGGCTCCTTGGAACTGCATCACGTGGTCCTCCATGTGCCGAATGCGGAGGGGCGTGTGATGACGGCGCTCGGCTGGGGCACCACCTTGTTACGAGACCCCCTGGAGGCGGCGCTGGGCCAACTCGGCACGTGGCAGCGGCGTGACCTAGGGGTGCTCGAGATCTAAGCCTAGAGTCCCACTATAGACCTCTATGTCGATAGGAAAAGACCAGGTTTCGGATGGGATTATGATCAAAATAGAGGTCACTCAGGTTAAAAGTAGTTTCACCTTAGTACGATAGATGCACTGGTGGCAACGTTGAGTGATGTTGAGTGTATGACCTAGTTTCGTTTTTGGACGATCCGGACAGCTGATGCGTCCCGTCGTCCCGTCCCAGGCCGAGGAGGTCTCGAGCCCTGCGGTGAGTGGAAGCACCAACTCCCCGGCGCGGTGGAGACGATGAGAGACGACGGTTAAGTCTGTCGGTTGGGTGTGGACGGAGTGAGGGGAACGGTCTGTGACATGTGTGTGTGTGTGTGTCAACCCCTGTTTCCAAGGGCACTAATCTAGCTACTTCTACTACTTCTCAAGTGTGTGTGCCAGCAGTTACGTGGAAGTCAGGGTGCGATCGAGGTAGGAGGTGCCCGGTGCCCCGTCGTCACATCCACGGCCACTGCATGGGACGAGCCATACCATCCCGTCGAACGTGACGACTGGTGTGTGTGTGTGTGTTTTCTTTTCAGGGAACGGTCTGCAGGAAACCCATGGTTTTCACGCCCCCAAACCAGAAAGATCTCCTATAGATGTTCCCTGAAACCAGTTCTGGGAAGTTAGTAATTTCTGCACTTGGGAGTTCAAGATGCTTAAATATGCTTAAAAAGGGGGTCTGCTGATGAGGTACATGAGGTGACCCGAAAAGGAATTTCTTTATACTTATACTGGTTGGTGCTTCTTGGTGTTTTGGAGGGTAAAGGGGTCCTGGATGACTACACCAAAGAAGCCCAGGCGATGGCCTCGCTACTAGGGTGGAGGCCATCGCTACTACCTTGGGCCCCACAAACCATCAACAACATGGTTTTCTCTAGCAAAAAACATGGTTTTGGTGAGTGTGAAAACCTTTGTTTTTCATGGTTTTGAGGGCCCCTGGTAGGTGGATGCCATGGCTACTAGGGTGGAGGCCATTGCTAGGCTATAGAGTTGGTTCAGATATGCAGGAATCTCGACTCCGAAACTCATTGAACGCTGACGTACTGTAAGCTTAAATTTGCCAGGTTCCAGATCCGAGGGCCAGTGAATGTGGGATTGAAGTGTGATCAGATACCAAATCCCAAGCCTGAAGATGTAGTCATGATGCTTTCCTTAAGGTGATTGTTGACTTTTCCCTAATTATTCCCAGACACTCCGTGTATGCCATATGGTGTCTGGCCAAAAGTCTATAATCACAAAATTTAGATGAAGGGGTCGATATAGTAGCTTATCATGTCGGTTTTTCAATTAGATTATGTAGCGGGCCTTTCAAATATATGCCTACATTATATTATATTATGCCTACATTGGTGTGGTCCGTGGTTTTGGGATCT